TTCAGCTGTGTAAAAACTATAACTTTAATCTCAGACAAACTGATTTACTCAGGAACAAATAAAATACTAAAAAAAAAAAGCCAAACAATAACATTTTTAAGTTATCTAAGTGACTCATATATATTTAACCTGAGTAGCGAAAGACGGCGGTGGGTTTGAAAACGATTTGCGGGGAGTCCGGTGTTCTCACGGCGCTAGTGAGCCTAGCCCCCGGCTCGCTAACGAGCTAGTGGGTAACAGATGTCTCCGAAAACGTCGGAGCGCTTTTGAAAATATGTGGTGTCCTGATAAACTGAGCAGATATTTGAGGTTTACACAGCTACATTCTCGCCTGAAAATATGTTAAACGTTTATTTTGTGACCCAGAAAGAATAATAAGAGTAACATTAAAACTAACTAGCTGCCGCCATTGTTGGAAACTGCGCCGGGCCGCGCTATGAATTCTGGGACACAGCTTCTTCTTCTTCTTCTTCTTCTTCTTCTTCTTCTTCGGGGTTTAACGGCAGCTGGCATCCTTGTACATGCAATGGTGCCATCTTCTGTTTCAGTCCGTTATTACACTCTTAAATCCTGCCACTTATTCCTGCGTCTTTTGTGATCGTACAAAGTTTCAAACGACGCGTCGACTATTAAATCAGTCGTCGACGATTTTGATAGTCGACGTAATCGTGACTAGTCGACAAATCGTGGCAGCCCTACATGTCATCATATTTATAACCATTTTCTAACATAGTCCAAACTTCCTTTACTTTCCTGGTTCTCTAAACTTTTTGTCTTTCTCTGCAGTATCTTTTTCAAAACGGTCGTGTGGAGAACATTTTCATGGATCGCTTCTATAACAAGTTTTCCATTGAGTTCACCAACTTGCTGCGAGGTTTCAAACCTTCAATCACACCCAGTGGTGAGTTTCCAACACCACCTTTGTCTCTGTCAGTGTTACACAAACAAACGTCTGTTTGCTCAGATTTACAGCGGGTCACTTTCCCTCCGCAGGTTATATCCACTCCCGTGTAGAGGAGGAGTTTTTGTGGGACTGTAAACAGCTGGGGGCGTACTCCCCCATCGTCCTCCTCAACACTCTGCTCTTCTTCTGCTGCAAGTACTTTGGCTTCACCAAGGTGGAGCAGCACCGTCAGCTGTCCTTTGCACACGTCATGCGCTGCACAAAAACCAATCTAAACAACACCAAGACCACATTCCTGCGCTTCTACCCACCGCTGTCCGGACCCGAGGCGGAGTCAGGTACCAACGTGCAGAACGCCAGATTTAAACACACAGAGCTAAACGCGTTGATTTTGCAGTTAAGAGTCGACAGTCCACCTAAAATTAGCAGTCAAACAGATTCTGACTGTTTTCATGTACAAATTATCCTGAAACTTGCACACTGTCTGTATGTGTCCTCTTCAGATGCAGAGGGTGGCCCAGCGAAGAAGCGGAAGGAAGAGGAGAGTAAAGAAGAAATCCTGGAGATGATGGAGAACACGGAGAACCCTCTCCGCTGTCCCGTGAGACTCTACGAGTTCTACCTCTCAAAGTGGTGAGTGTTGTACAACCACTGGTGCACTCGTGATGGATCTGTGGCTGGTTGGACTCCGCTTTCAGCACGTGAACTTTGTGAAGTAAATGGCTGCACAATAATCTTGCATTACCTTTCCCACATAACTGCTATGTTCAGTTTATTTTAAATAGGTATATTTATTTAATCTTTCAGTGTCTAGTTTGTATTTTCTCTCTGTGCCTGTGTAGGTTTCCTTCCAGAGTACAAAAACTTGATTGTTTGCTTCTTCTAAATAAGCTGTAGGTGAGGTTAGTTATCTGTGTTAGGTTGCGACGGACTGGTGACCTTTGCAGGGGCCTCTCGGCCTGCAACAGCTACTTGGTTAAAAAAAGGGATGATGCAGCTCCTGAGCTACAGTCGCTTCTTTTGTGGCGCATATATTGTTTGTTGTCAGATTTTGAGACCTGATATTACAGGAGTAGCTCACAAAACTGTCTAAAACCAGTATTTTGAAAGGTACAAATAAAAACTCACTCAGTGGGCTCAGTTAAGCCCAGAGAGTTTGATCTAAAACCAGAAGAAGAGATCACATCACTTTCAGCATCGCGACAGAAGCTCCAGTTTTATGTTTGTTTATGTAAGAAGGATTTTAACTAACACAAATGCATCATGAAAATATGCCAGATTCAGCCAAACATTATCTTGATTTTTCGTGCTCAGGTTGGACGTATTCCTCTGCTAAACTTTCAGGGCACCAAAGCTCTGGAAGGATCTGCCTGAGAAGTTTAGACTCTGCACTTAACTACCTTCCTCTCATTCATCTCCTTAAATTTGAACTTAACCTCTGAGTTTTCTTACTTGTGACAGCATATTGTTTCATTTGTGTTACATGAAGTAGGCTTGTTGGGTTTTTTAAAGATGCAGTTTCCCATTTGGCAAAATACACTGATCACATGACTTGAATTTGAATGAATGCTTTATTGGCCATATGCAGGTTGCAGGTTATTCCTTCTTTTAGAGGAATAGGAAATATCTTTTTTTAATATTACTTTTAAATTTTATTTAAATTTAAATATGATAATAAGTTACACTTGAAATATTAAGCGTCATAACATTTAAATGAGCCGACATTTGCCACTTGCCTGATCTGCACTACTGCACAACTAATAAAAGGTTAAGTGTTAAATGTCAGTAAAGACTAATAAAACCTGCCACTCATTGATTCTTTTAAAGTTTATTTCTTGTTTGGATGTGGAAGGCTGGATTGAGATGGTCCACTGGCCGACCCTCATTTTACTCTGATTTATCAGCACATTGATCTAAATCTTTGTTCCTGTTTCTTCCGCCCAGCTCGGAGTCGGTTAAGCAGCGAACCAACATGTTCTACCTGCACCCCGAGCGCTGCTGTGTCCCCAACAGCCCGCTGTGGTTCTCCTCCACCGCTCTGGATGACACCACCATGGAGGCCATGCTCATCCGCATCCTCACAGTCAGAGAGCTGCATCTCGACACAAAGCAGCAGACGAGCGATGACCCACCGTTTATACCCGAGGAGGAGGAGGATTCGGAGTGAACGTGAAGTGACCTTTTACCGTAGTTGCAGCTAGTGATGTAAATGTTTGGATATTATCAAAAATGTTCGCTGAACATAAACGGACAGGAAAAAAAAACATTCACAACAGCAGTATGAAACAGCAAAGAGTCACATTTCAAACGCACGTTTGGACAGAACCTCCGATTCACATCGCTTATGTAGAGGTGAGGCTGAGATGCTGGACTCAGCATTAAAGACTGTTTACTGCTCAGCAGGGCACGCAGCTGCCCTCCTGTGTTTATGTGGTTGTGTCTTATGGAAAATACTACTTTTATCTCCTTCCATGTGTTATGATTCCTGACCTTCCTGTGCACACTGGACTTCCAAGTTTTTCTAAAGCTAGCCCTCCATCTCGGAGTGATGGAGGTCCCGAATAGAGAGCTGCATATTGTTAGTTTCACTACATTCACACCTCAGAGGCCAAAATGAACACGTCTGTGTTTGCAGTAGTTAGAATATTTCCTGGGTCAGTACTTTTGCACACCTCAAGAATTGTTGCAATCTCACTTTGAGAAAACACAGTTTTAACATCTGACTGGAGATTTTACCTGAATCATGATTTGATTGATTTTTCTTCCAGATTCCTTTTTAAGTTGTGATGCTAAACGTTGAAAATGTACACAATTCACACGTTGTGTTTTGTGGTTAACAGATAATCCTCAGATACTTTAAATGATCTTATCAACCTGAAAAGAAATTACAGCATCGAACAATGTAAAAATCATCATTGGTGCCTGATTGAAGGGATTAAAGATTTTGGAAGTGATTCAATTACATTTTAAGAAATTAGAGATTTGAGTGTTAGGTAGCTGCTATCCCTCATTATGACTTTCAAGCAATCTGAGAAGAGAAAAGCCTACAACTCTAAAGTTTTAAACTCATTTTGGGATTTCATACTAAACAAACCTTAAAGCAGTGAGTTTTTGCATAATGAGCTCTGGTATTATATGAAAGCAAATAAAGCTGTCCGTTTGTGTATGTCTAGATTATTTTAACCCCCTTAGAGTATGGCTGCCAAGGTTCTCTTGAGTGTTTTCTATTATATGTTCATTTTGAATAATAAAAAAACAACTTCAAAACACTTGTTTTCTTTTGAGACTCTACAATTGCACCTGTGAGAGAGCACTGCCTCTTAGTCTCGACAGAATCTGTAATGTGATTTGATTTCAGCCCAAACCGTGATCTTTTAATGAACCTAAAAGATCTACCTTTTGTTGCTTAAATCGAACCAAGGTGAAACCTTAAGGGGTCACCACAGTGGATCATCTTTCAGTATCTCATCCTATCCCTTCCATCCTCTATCACACTAAATGCTGCCAATATAACTCTCCATGTCTTCCTTCACTACATCCTTGAATCTCCTCTGTGGTCTTCCTGTTTTTTTTCCTTGATGTTCAGCATTCGTCATCCAGGTAACGCTTTCCCTCTGCGCATGTCCAAACAGCCTCGCCTCTCTAACTTTTGTCTCCACGCTGTTTTCGTTTTTTATCCAAGTCACTTCCAGTGAACTAAACTAAAAAGAAGTAATGCATAAATGGTCTCCGAGCAGAGAGACTTGGAAGGAGAGCTCTCTGAAATAAGGTAAAAATTTATCGATTCAGTCGTTAAAGCGGCTCAAAAGTAGATACAAATGTGATGAATGTGATTTCCAGTTGGTGTGTTTTACTCGGATTACGAGGACGCTTAACGCCGACGGTACTTGTCCCCGCCATGTCCTCATAAACTGCTCATTCCACTTTCACGGTTCTCCGCTGCTCCTAGTGGCTGAGACGATCGCGACCGCGGATTCGCTGCCGCTGCAGTCAATCGTTGACGTTACCGCCAGTGATTGGTCAGAGATACCGCCGCTCCTCCCAGATCGTGCCCCTTTATCGTCACGTGGTCTCTCATTACCCATACAAGAAAGATGGCTACTTCTATGCTAGCTACACCTGGAGCTCTTCTTGTTTTTTCTTGTGGACACTAAAGCGGAGGTAACTGTTGTTTGGTGTGAAACCGAAGTAGTTCTTGAAATACATTTAGCTAGGTCTAAAACAATGGGTAAACAGCTCAGAAACCACTGCTGGTTTGTTTCTCACCTGCTGGCTAATGCAAGGATACTAGCAAAGCATGTATGTGTACAACTAACTGAATGTAAACATTAGCCAGATACAGCTGCAGCTGTCCAGATGCATGGGTTTTCTGCTCAGTTGTATAGTGCCTGGTACAACTGAGCAGAACAGACAAATTTATCCAAGAAGTTACAGAGGAAAGTGGAACAAACTTCTACATGCAGAGCCGCTTAAGTACTTTAGTACAAGTTTGAGGTCTGTGGAAAATCTACTCTAGTGCCAGTTTGTTCATCCTGCTTCACTGCAAATCAAGTGGAAATACTTATTATTATAAGTAATTACATTTAGTACTTAGTGCATTCATTAGTTCAAAGTAGTATCAGTATCAGTTTTTACTTTATAAATAAAATGAGATAGTTTAACTTATTTTCCCAATTTTGTGGGCTATTTACATTTGAGTGAACAAATGTTAGAAATATGAGCTTCTTGAATTTTTTTTTCTACCAAACACACACACATTTATTGCAACTAAAAAGTTACAGTTGTTCTGAATAAGGTTGGCAGCGTGTTGAACATATTGTATGCAAGTACATAAAAGGGATGAGTGTACTGAAAGTATACAATCTACGATACTTATGCAACCTGGATTCATACAGGTGTACTTGAGGAGAAAGAGACTAAGCAATTCATCTGGGCCAGCTTTTATAGCCTGGAACGTCAAGGTGAACTGACTTGTTGACAACCCTCCTATGTTAGTCAATTATCAGTAAGAGCAGTCCTGGACTTCCTTTAGTAGTGGGTGGGGCATAACATTATTTTTAAGCACCCCAGATGTGTTTTGACTTGCATTCGCACACTGAAAACACACCTCAAGCCTCAAACCTTGAATATAAATAAACTGTCTGCTGCAATATTTACATTGCCATAATTGTTGTGCTCAGCAGATTTTTCCAGCTGTCATGGAAAACCGACACAAGCGAGTGAATCCAGAGCAAGATGCCCTGGTGCACATTGTGGCTTGCAGAGACAAACCCTTCCTAGAAGAAAGGTTCATAGACTCCTTTAAAGGTATGTGGTGTATATATAAGACTTTTATAGTGGAACACGAATGGGTGACAAATTAAAGGAAAATTATGCAACCTTGGTAGCTCCAGTGAATGAATATGGTGGTCCCATTAAACTGTAGGGGGGCTTAGACTTTCAAGCAGTGTATTTCTGGTCTTCAGAAGTAAAATTAGACATACTTAAACACAATTTATTTTTGTATATGATGAAGTAAAAATGTGAATATTCCTTTATAAAATATGTCTGGGAAGTTGTGGACTAATCACAGCCACAGTTGGTCTGAAAAGACTTAATTCTACTTTTGCTGGATGTATTTAAAAGGATGATGTCTTATTTGAATGCACAGAGTGCTATATTTATTGCCAAAGTCATGGCAGTTCCAGTGTAAACAGTTTATAGGGAAATTGTTGAACCTAATTTTTATGTTCTTAATAAAATTTTTAGGAAAGGGTGTCTTTACAAACAAAACCATTAAAGCATCTGCCTTTGTTGTCGAGTATCGTGGGAAGATCTTTCTTCGCAAAGACGGGAGGCCTAAGAAGAGAAGCGGTGATACTTTGAATGGTTTCTTATATGAGTTTACATGGAATGGAGAACAGTGGTGGTAAGGTGTTTGTTTTGCATTTTTAAAGTGTTTTGGACTGTTTATTTACAGCTTCCTTTTATTAAGGGGACACTTTTGTATGTGCAGCGTTGATGCTTCCAAAAACGACAAGACCCTTGGAAGGCTTGTGAATGATGATCACATAAGTCCAAACTGTGAAATGAAGAAGATCGTTTATGAGGGGAAGCCACACTTGTGCCTCTTTGCAGTGGAAGAAATACCTCAAGGCAAAGAGATAACTTACAACTACGGCAGCTCCTATTACTCGTGGCGTCCCAAGGTATGTTTATATTATTAAAGAAGCCTTTCTTATGATTTTTATATATTCCACTCACTCCCTCTGAACACACCAGAACAGTTCTCTGTGCTCATTCAGAAGAACCTGACATCTATAAGTGTAAAATAGCGTTACACTTACTCTAGAACTAATAGTGTTTTACAGGAGGCGTTCTCAGTCTGGCTAGTACCAACGAGTAGTCCAAATGTGGTCAGAATGAGAACCCCAGAGTGGCTCTTTTATGATGAGATTGTGATCTGACTTTGGTTCGGATCCTTCTACCAGTCTGAGATTGATGCCTTTCTTTAGCCTGGTGTGCTTTGTTTTCTGGGATGTGGCAGATGTGCAAAGTTTTTGAATTCTTTTTAAGACAAATAAAAAAAATGTTTTGTAACAGTAAAAACTCAATCAAACCAGTACACAAATATGTCCAAATTTACAGTTTGGTATGTAATCATTTCCAAATATTAATGTTTATATTCAGTTTTTTTGTCTTATTTCACATTTACAGGAGTCACGTGATGGACCAAGTACTTCAGACAAAAAAATGTATCAAATTTCATCAACACCCAAGAAAAGAAGAGTACGTAAACAAGCAGCAATTTTGTTTTGGAGTACAGAAGTACAAAAGGTTCCTGGTTCGAACCTTATGGTCTCTCGGGGGCCGTTGTGTTCGGAGTTTGCATATTTTACCTGTGCAAGATTTTATAGTCCATGCTTTTTAGGTATATTTCTAAATTCTACATTTGCTGAAGGTTGTTTGTCTGGAAGGTGTGTAGTGGTCTGTCTCTCTGGTTTTGCACAGTACCTTGAAGCTATGTGTTTGCTAAATGCATATAAAAACATATAAAGTATCTGTTAGTGAACCAAATGTAGTCTGTCAACATGCTCTTAATTTGTATTTTCAGTTTAAAGACTCGGATGATGACAGCGAACTACCAGGTCCAAGTCATGACAGTGACCACTCTGTTGATCTTGGAAGGTCATCCAGGGACAGTTCGCCACATTCTGAGTCAGATTCTCAAGAAATGACGAAAAACTTCAGGAGAGTGTCATCAATTCAGGAGGATGACACTTCGAGTTCTGATGATCATGACTCGGACAAAGACAAGACGTACAAAGAAGACAGATACAAAGGAGACAGATCCAGTAAGGCTGGACTAAAAGGCGGAGGAACATCTTTCACAAAGAAAAATTACTGTTATGTTTGCGGGAAAGGTTATCACAAAATTCCTCGGCATCTTTCAAGGCACATCGATGAAGACCCTGAAATCGCTGAAATCTTTGCTTTACCCAAAAACTCAGCAGAACGTAAAAGTCTGCTGGCCAAATTACGAAAAAGAGGAAACTACAAACATAATCAAGAGGTTCTGAGGAGTAACACAGGACCGCTAAAAGTGGGAAGACGATCATCCCGCTATGTAATGACTGCTGAAAATTTTGTGCACTGCATTTATTGTAAAGTAATGCTTCAAAGCAAAGACCTATATAGGCATGTAGCAAAGTGTGCTAAGCAAACAATAAATGCTGCAACACATGGCGAGACGAGCATCTTGGGGGATGTCACCGAGTCGGAGTTCTCTGAAAAGTTTCCGTCTGAAGTTTGGGAGATACTTTCACCGATGAAACAAGATGAAATTGTATTTTTAATTCAACATGACTACCTTTTCATGAAGATGGCCCAGAGTCTTATTGAGAACAGTGGAAATGATCCGACAAACCAAGAGCGCGTCAGACAGAAGTTGAGAAAAATAGGAAGGCTCTTAATAGAGCTCCATGATAAGAGAATAGTGAGTTTTGAAGCAGCACTTAAACCCAGAAGCTTCTACAAAGTTGTTGCTGCTGTCAGAAACCTCTCTGGTTTTGATGAAAAAAAGCAGAAGTACAGCAAACCGAGCCTTGCCTTGTTTTTTGTAAAGTCTCTGAAAAAACTGGGAGAATTTGTTGTCGCACAGAGCGACAGCAGTAAGCGGGCCGTGAGAGATGCTAACACATTCATGATGCTGTGTGCGAAGGAGTGGAAGGAAACTGGCCCTCACAAAGATGCACCTTCATCAAGTGAACACAAAGTACACAGCCCCTCTACGATACCGTTCACGCGTGACATACAGACGTTCTACACGCACCTGGAAAAGACTTCTGCTTCTGCCATTGAGTGCATGAAGAAGTATGAAACCCCTCAGATGTATAATGCACTTTGCAGAGTCATACTTGCACAGGTGTCAGTCTTAAACAAATGCGCACCCGAGGTTTCAAAAATTACCCTTAAGTCATTCCAGGAGCGGGACGAGACTACCCAGGTGTTGTCCAAGCACTTTATCAGGATTAATATTGCAGGCAAGACTGGGCAGAACGTTGCTGTTTTGTTGACGTCTCAGCTCGTCAGCGCATTAACGTTGCTTATGAGCAAGAGACCAGCGTGCGGAGTACACGAAGACAATCCTTTCTTGTTTGCAAAGCCAGACGGTTCATCCACAAGCCTCTACCACGGAGGCCACTGTGTTCAGGTCTACACAAGAATGTGCTCTGCAAAGAACCCAGAGCACCTCACGTCCGTGCATTTTCACAAGCACATTGCAAGAATTTTTCAGATTCTTAACTTGGAGAATGACGAGCTACCTCACCTTGCTAAACTGCTGGGTCATGACATCCGGATGGACAGGGATTATTATCGGCTGCCCGAAGCGGCTGTTGAACTCGCAAAAATTGCTAAACTGCTTCTGGCAATGGAAAAAGGCTCTCTTGAAAGATTCAAAGGAACCTCTCTGGATGAGATTGAGATTGAAGGTTTGTGTCCAGTATTATGCAGATATAAACACACATTAGCCTGCCAGTGGTCATTAGATTGTCTTTTAAGGAGTTGTGAATAAATGCAGTCTGTTTTGATCATTCAAGATGAATTGGAGCCAGATATGGAGCAGGGCAGCTCTGTGGTGGACCGTGAAGAGTCAGATTTTCTACCTCAGCAGAGCGGTATGTTGCAAAGATGAGCCTTTCTGCACCTATTAACCTGGAGTGATTATTCTTTTGGACTCCTCAAATGTCTGTACTATTCTTGTGAACACAATGAATCTCAAAATCTCCAACTTCAACACTCTAAGGACTCAAAAATAAGCTGAAGATTTTGGATGGGAGGGTCAAAGAATTCATTCGCTAAACATGATCAGGTTTCACACAAATGTTCATGAGGACAAAATGAAGGGATGCCATATTCCAGTAACCTTTTTAATACCACTTTAAATTTTGTCCAGATGTGTTTATTAATGCAACTAGAAAATCAAAATATTGTTTTTCTAAACTGTTTCCTGTTCTCTCGGGGCCTGCAGGCCTAAGTTGCCCCTACAAGGCTATAATCAGAGGATATTTGTATTTTCAAGCTACAACTTTTAAGTTTTCCACTATATTGGGTTAGCTGTCATGAACAGTACTTACACAGAGAAAACAACCTTAAAAGGTTATTGAAGTTATGAAGGATTTTTAAAAAGAACTAGACAGTGTTGTCTACTTACATTCAATAATGACTGACTACAATATTCATCACTCTCAGGGAGCTCATTAAAATCCTTTAAGATCTACCCAAACAAAATTTTAAAACATGACCAAAGGTGAGGACGTACTCACCCTCTGTATCCAGGGCGTGCACATAGTTTGCTTCGTTCCACAACATGAATGGTGAATAAACTAAAAAAGGTGAGAGAAACTGCAGCATGCTGTTATTTGTTTGAAACAGATGATAACACATCTTCATCTTTACATCAAAAATAGTTTATGTGAAAATTGTGTTAATGATTTTTGTATTTCAATAATATTTTTGGACTCTTCAGATGATGTGGATCAGCAAGGCGGACAGCTAACTCCTGAGCAGGATGCCATGCAGCACATAAAGGCTTGCAAGGACAAATCCTTCCTGAAGGAAATGTTTATTAATTCCACTAAAGGTTGGTCATGAATCCCTTATAACCGCCCTGTTATGGTTGTTTTTGTAAACTGGCTGTTAGTCTCAGCCCCTGTTGATTGTTGATATGAGACACTGAAAGGTAATCTTATAATAGATCATGTAAACGGTGAATACATCAGGAAACTTTATTGCTACACTTTTCTTTTCGTAAATACTATTTGATTACTATTGGTCTAGTTGTTACCATGGATTGGTCTTATGACTACAAATTTTTTTTTTTTGCATATTTGTAGGGAGAGGTGTGTTCACCAGTAAAGCCATTGAGCCATCCAACTTTGTTGTTGAGTATCGGGGGAACGTCTCAACCTGTGGAGAAACCCGTCCAGAGAAATGTGTAGACACCCTCAACAATTTCTTGTTTCAGTTTTCCTGGAACGGAACAAGCTGGTGGTGAGTTTTCAGCAATATAAGGAGGGTTCTTGTTTTAAAATGTCTAAAAGCTCATGTTTAATAGAAAGCCCTCGTGTATCCTGAGAAAGGTTGATATCAAGTCAGATCCAGGTTTTTAAAAAAAATCTTCATTATGTGCATGAAACATGCTTTTCTTTAACATTACTTTACTCAACCTACTTATAAAGATAGCTTGAACGTGCAGACACTGACTGTCCGTCACCACCATCAGTCCGAGTCACTGTGATAAAATGCATAATTTTAACAGTGGTTGAAGGTTCATTGTGAGCATTTGCCCTGCAGCATTGATGCTTCTGCAGAGGATGGGACTCTCGGACGACTCGTGAATGATGATCACGTAAGCCCCAACTGCAAAATGAAGAAAATTGCTCATGAGGGGAAACCACATCTGTGCCTGTTTGCTCTGAAGAAAATATCTCCAGGCGAGGAGATAACTTACAACTATGGGCAGTCCTCTTACGCTTGGCGATCAGCAGTAGGTTTATTTGGTTTGGTATGATGTTGGATGGACTTCTTTGTTCTTTGTCTCTGTGTGTAAATTTCTAACCTCTGTTCATAACAGTATATGAGAATATTAGGGGTGCAACGATACACAAAATTCACGGTTCGGTTCGGTTCGATACTTTGGTGTCACGGTTCGATATTTTTTCGATACAAAAAAATGTTCATGCCTTTTTAATTTGTCATTTATTAAAATTATAAATATATATTTTAACTCAAAAGTACAGTTTTTAAATTTAACCCTAACCCTTGTGCGTGTTTTTTATTTTGACAGCGAATGCACACCTGCGGACCACTTATGTGCAGCCCTGGTTATTTAGCTCATCATATTGCAGCCAAAGAAATTCTTTTGTCCATGAAACCATAAAGCTGCACTTTCTTTTTGCCTTATAGTCTGATTTGTCATAACTTCTCCTGCTGCTTTTACACACGCACTCACATAAGCTCAGCGAGCCTCTGCGCGATCAACCTCTCACATGTTTAAGCTTGCTGCGGGAGATTTCACTTGTCATGTTTGCGTAGTAAGCTAACAATTAATAAGACGATGTCAGAGGAATTGGTGCACAAATTATCATCACTCACAGATCAGTGCTGTCGCTCTCTATACACAGTTCGCACGATTGCAAATTGAAAGCAAAAAAAACAAGCGCAAATTCAAACGCGATTTCAATATGTCACATATTGACAGTGGCTCACCGATGCCAATGACATAATTACCCAGCTACATTTCTGAAAGAATGCAAAAGCATTGACATATATTTTTCCTTCCTACGGGCAGGGCAGAGATAGATTTTGGTAGCCCGACTGAAAAAAAATCGCTAGCCCGGGACGTCGGGCTAGCGATATTGCGAGCCCTGCATCTGATTGAGGAATCACTCATCTTTGGAAAAGAGAGTTTATTACAGAGAAATGTCTCTTTCCAAAATAAAAGCTATACTATCCGCTTCTTCTGGGCTATATTCTCAGCAGCATATTAAACATATATAAGGAGAATCATGTGCTAACAGCTGTCTAAATGACTCGGCTAAAGTTGGTAGCATGCTTGCTTGTTTTTGTCTGCTTCCACTTGTCTTTGCACTAGGATGATGTCGGCGTAAATGTGCAGTCATATTCGTCGTGTTCCCACTAGTGCTGTCAGCGTTAATCTCGTTGAAATGACGTTAACGCCACAACACGGCAAATCTCCGTTAACAAGCTACCACCGATCGCCCCGTGCATGGGGCTAGACGGCCAACACGTTAACGAGCTAACTGCGCTAACACACTAAAACCAAAATAATTCCAAACGCCAGATCTGAATGAGGTTCAATTTGCCTGTTGCAAGGAGAGCTTAACTTCTGTCTCGCTAGCTTGCCCTGCGCTCTTCCTTCTGACTATGCTGTCTGTGTTGAGCGCTCAGTGGATCTGCGCTCGACAGTGCAGCCTAGGCGGAGTAGTCGAACGCAGATTCACTGAGCGCTCAACACAGACAGCATCGTCAGAAGGAAAGTTGATAAAATAAATTACAAATGTTGTATTGTTCGATACATATGCGTACCGAACCGAAAGCACTGTATCGAACGGTTCAATATCGATACGAATATCGTTGCACCCCTAGAGAATATATACAGGAAGTTTTCTTTTTGACTTTGCTGTCTTCTTTTTATTTACAGGATCAAAACAAAGAACCACAAACCTCAGAAATGGAGACTGCAGCGTCTTCGACAGTGGATGAAAGAGTAGGTGTTGAACAAGATTTGTTTTATATTAAACACCAGCACTGTAAATGTGACTGCAGACTCGGGATTCATCACTTTATGATGTCTGGTATTTACAAAAGGGTTAAAAGGGTTTAACTTCCCTAAGAGTCCATCGGTAATCTAGCAGCACAGTCTCTTCTGCAGACCTTCTGCTTATAACGACATCTGTGAATGAAAAAAGGCACTAAATACACAGTAGCAGTCATAATGCTGTTAATTCTGAGTCAAAATGCATTGTTTGCAATAAATGCATCCAGTGTTGTGGGTGGTGAAGACAGGGAGTGATTTGATGCCTCTCTTTAATAACTATGATTCAAGTGTAAAGTTCTGTTGAGGTTATTAAAAGCGTTTAAAATCCATCCAAACAGAATTTTAAGCCTAAATATGTCGGCCAAAAACGAAGGAGAACTCGCTCTGAACTAAACTAAGACAGAGAGAACATGGTAGTCTGGACTATCAGCATGAGTATTAAGTGGCTTGTTTATTGTAAAGAAAATCAGAGTGCAGTTAGATTTGTGTGTTGGGTGCATAAATTTGCCTTTTTCTTAATTAATTCTAGGTGGAAAACTCAGATGAGGAATTCAGTTCTGCAGAATGCTTCTCTGATGAAGATTATGTCATTGACAATGAACCAAGCAATGATGACAGTTTTACCGAAAACGATGACCAGGATCAGGAATTTGAAGAAAATGCAGATGACTCGAAGGCCGGTTCTTCCAAAGCGCCGAACGATATGTCGGACTCCGATGAGTCTGACTCTGATGGAAAGTCTAAAGAAACTTCCTTCACTAAGAGAAATTACTGTTACGTTTGTGGGAAACCTCAAACTAAAATTTCTCGTCACCTTTTCACGCATAGAAAGGAAGAACCTGAAATTGCTGAAGTGTACGCAATGCGCAGGAACAGCAAGGAACGCAAAAAGCGTCTGGAGATGTTGCGAAACAAAGGAAACTTCAAACACAACCAAGGAGTCTTGAAGGCTCGCAGAGGAAAACTGAAAGTGGAAAGAAAATCGGAGATGTCCACATTTAAAACACTCGCCACTTGTGTATATTGTAAACGCATGTATGATCGTAAAGTGGTGTGGCATCATATGCAAAAGTGTCCCTCGATGGCATCCAATAAACCTCCAGAAGGCGTTCAAAGTCAAATCTTAACTTTGGTTGCCGCCACTGGACTAACGGACCCTGAACAGATCTCAACAGGTGTGAAGAAGATGTTGAAAAAAATGAAGAAAGACGATATTTCCTCTGTAGTTTGCGAAGATTCTTACATATTACAATTGGCACAATGTTGCTACCACATGAGAGAGAAGAAACAGAATCAGGGATACGTCACTCAGAAGCTGAGGCAAATGGCACGGATCCTGATAACGTTAAGAAAGAAGTCGATAAACAGCTTCGAAGACGCAGTCAAGCCCCAAAACTTCAACGCCGTTGTAGAAGCTGTCCAGGAGATTGCGGGCATCAAAGAGGGGTCGAAGTCGTTTGACAAACCATCTCTCGTTTGGAAGCTTGGAAATTCGCTGAAGAAGATCGCTGACATTAAATACGCCAGGGCTTTGAAGGATGGTGATGAAGAGGTGTTAGAGGAAGCTGAGGCATTTATTAAGCTGTGTACGAAAGAATGGCCCTCCCATGCAAAATCACAACCAAAAACACCCTGCCAGCCAACCTTACAGTTTACACAAGATGTGATGCTGCTCTACAAGTGCCTGAACAGGACAACAGCTTCTGCAGTCCAGAGCCTGATGATGTATGCAGTAACACCGGTCTACAACGCGCTTCTCAAAGTGGTACTTGCATTCGTGTCCTTCTTAAACAAAAATATTCAGGATGTTTCAAGGGTGACACTCCAGTCATTCAAGGAAAGGGCTTCCGCAGAGCTTCAGGAAGATGCTGCTGGTTCACAGACCCAGTTGGAGCAAATTCTGTCCAAGCACAAAGTCACGATTGGTGTTAGTAACTCAAATGGAAAATATTTGCTCTTACTTTGAGCCCTGAAGTGCTTTCTGCGCTAACGGTGCTTGTGGACAAGAGGGACACATGTGGAGTAGGTAAGGACAATCCCTTCTTATTTGGGAATCCTGGTGGCAAAGGGTCAGACTTTCACAAGGGACACGCGTGTATCAGGATGTTCGTTAATCGCTGTGGTGCAAAGAACCAGGAAGCTCTCAGGTCTCAGTGTTTTCGTAAGTACATAGTAAGAATTTTCCAGATTCTCAGCCTTAAAAATGACGAGCTCACTCAGCTAGCTAAGCTGTTGGGCTGTGACATTCAGACAGACTGGGAGTATTATCAGACGCCCGAGGCAGCTGCCGATGTCGCAAAAATATCAGAGCTTCTGTCGGCACTGGAGAATGGATCTCTCGAACGATTCGAAGGAAAGACTCTGGAGGAAATTGAGATTCCAGGTATGTGACTCAAATCTCTGTTCACCCAAATCCTCCCTCAACGCATTTGCAAAACTCCATTAAGAATGTTTAGAAACCCCGATTGTTTCCATGCATGTTTATTTTTTCTTGCTGCGTTACCGCCACTTGTTGGAATAATGTTGAACCACTGTCGAGTTCCTTTTTTCCTCTTTCCTTTAAAGATGAATTGCAGCCAGTCATGGAGCCTGTCACCCCCAGAAACAGCGATGCTGAGGAAGATGATGAAGGTTCAGAAGTTTCCTTTGATGTGTGATATAATAGTCGTGCCTGCAGTTATTTTTGAGTGGTATTCGTGTTTATTATGGCAGATGATTCACCTTGTATAGTCCTCAACTGATGTATGGTGGGACAATATTAGCTATTTGCTTATTTCCGAAGGATGTTTCTTTATTAAAAAGTGAGCTGAAATGTTTAAAAATTAAAAAGTACGAAAAATGCAGATATTCTTCTTACAGATCTGTCTTTGTCTTTTCCACAGGTAAAAAAGCAAAAGAAAACAAAGCCAAAGAAAGAAAAAGAAGAAGGAGATTGAAAAAGAGCAGCCGGAGCCAAATGAACATGAAGCCGTGAACACAGAGAAAGAAGACAAGGCAGAGGACGTGCCGGTGAAGAGTGACATCAGCAAACCTGTGGAGAAGAAATCTTTTAGCACAGCTCTTGAGCCAAGTATTTATTTCAGTGACGATGATGAGGACATGAATGTGAATTTTGACATCGACATAGACACTGATGACGACGATGATAGAAATGAGGAGATTGCTGCAGACGGTCGCTCAAACAGTTCAGGTACAAAGCCCAGGGTAACAGATGAAGATGCAACAACAGAAGTCAAGAAGAGCAACAAGGATGATGACGGAGAGCAGAAAAATACGTCTCCAGACGAGCACAGTGCTGATGAAGAGCTCGCAGAGGCAATGGATATCGACACAGAGAACCATGTGGAGGAGGACTATGATGAAGATGATGATTGGATGGATGTGGACAGTAACGCTTCTGCTCCCACTTTAAATGAAGGTAAACTAAATCTGGTGAAAAATGGGTTCATGTTCTGTTAACTGGGAACTGTGGAGAGGTTTGACTCACTAAAGTGGAAATGTGTTTTACTAGTCACAGAAAAGAAGACCAACCTATCGGTGCCCATGGCTCTGATGAAAGAAGTGAAGATAGTAATCCCAAAACTAGACATCGTGAGTCCAGTTTGTTGTTATGTTTTACAACCTGCTGAAAATGACACTTTTAAAAAGTTGAATAAATGTGAGGTCTGTAAGCATCGCTGCATTCTTTACAAACTACTCTTTAAATGTAGGAGAAGGTGCAGCATCCCATCCACATTTCCCAGTTGTCATCTTTGAGTAACAAGCAGCCGGTGGAAGATAAACCCGTCCATGATGACAAGAAACAGAGTGCAAGACCTACTCCACTTACAGAGGTCACAAACAAGCCCAGCTCTGAAAAGGTAGGAAAACTTTCTTCTCTTCCAACGAAGTAGAATTTGTCTGTAAAATATATATTTTCGGTGAAATCATCTGAGCTGAATGTATGAAATATCAGGCCTGTAGAAAGGTGTTTTCCATAATCTATCTATCAATTACAAGGATTAAAACGCTATTGTTGTAGTTTATTTATGTTAAAGTATAAAGTGCCTTGAAGCAAATGTTGTTGTGATTTCGTGCTATATAAATAAAATTGAATTGAACTGAATTGAAAATGATCAAATCCATAAATGTTCTGGATGCCTTTTAAAGTTTTAAGAGACTAAATGTCCATTAGTTTTATTTCATAACACATAAAATCTTCTTAAGTCCGACAAACATGCCAGCTGTTTTTCTTTCACTGCACACTCAGATTGATTTCTTTGTCAGTAAAACTTTGATACCATTAAAGGGATCACTTGGATTATGAGAACAGCTCTATCAGAGGCAGATCTCCCTCGTGCTGTCAGAACAGCTCAGACCCATCAGGGCGTGGTCACAGGATCTCTGTGTTCAGGTGTCTGACTCTGGGAAATTGCTAGCATGGTCTGTGGATTGAAGGTGGTTCTCGCTAGTGAGTTGGAGACCAGCTGAACACCTCCTCATGCTATTGCTGAACTGTCTTTGGGGGCTGTGTCAGAGATCGTCTTTAGCGCACCACGGCAATGGCAATCTGTGTTTTACACGTTTGGGTTTTAGTGTTGTAGCTCATCAGTGCATAAAATGCTGTAAAAATGTGTTTAATCAACTCTGTGATTTACACTTTTACATTTCAGGCAGTGCACATGAACTGCTCCCGCTGCAAAAAGAGCATGATGAAGGGACACACTGCTTACCAGAAGAAGGGCTTCTCAGACGTCTTCTGCTCCAAAAACTGTCTGTTTGAGATGTTTTCTTACAACAAACCAGCCACCAAGACCTGTCACCAATGTCATAAGTGAGTGTTGTTGAAACTGTGCTCTGTTCTCGATGACTAACAGGCACGGACTGTTTTAATTTATTTCTATTAAAGACTTTCATCCACTTGAGGGCAGCATAACCAAAGAGTATATACAACAATATGACATTATAATGACATTAAGTTATAAACTGCATGACGTCACTGTTAGTTAAGCAGCCACCAGATGATTGCTCAGTTTAGACCCGTGTTTCAGAGCAGCTCCTGATGGAATCATCTGCTGAATGAATCGCTTTGTCCAGCAGGTGACGATTATTTAATTAATTTCTCCTGTTTGTCGCTGAGCAGGTAGGATGGTTATAGGATATATAAGTGTCTGTGTTAAGTGTTTGTCCTCCCCTTCGATCAGAGCGATATCGCAGCCTCTGGACCTCATCATGGCTGCTGTGGACACTAAAGGAACTATGAAGGACTTCTGCAGCCCGGCTTGCTTGAGCTCTTTCAAGTCTGCATCCACCCAAACACAAAAGTCAGTCTGCAACATATGCAAAAAAGTCTGCAGTGTAAGCACTTTTTTTTTTTCTTTTGATACCTGGGTGTTCAGAGTTTTTATTTTTCCCTTTATTATGGTTAAAAAAATCGTATTTGTTGCCTTTAATTGCATGTACATGCACATCACAGTGTCTCCTTTAAGAGCTGTATGTCTTTATTATCCCGTTCAATGGCATTTTATTAATATTAATAACTAAACAAAAAAGTTTTTTATAATCCATGATCTTATGTCCACGGCTCCTTTCTCACTGACTTCAGACCAAATGTGAGCTGACCCTGAACGAGGCAGTCATCAGGTTTTGCAGCCACGCATGCTTCGATGATTTCTGCAAGAACAACATGGGCATCTGTGAGAACTGCAGCTCTGTGTGCCGCAGCAAACCGCTCACGCTGAAGCTGGAGGATGATAACAAAACATTCTGCAGCGGTGGTTGTCTGAAGCGGTTCAAAGAGGTGCGGATACATCAGAGAGGGAAAATGCAAAGTTGTGGGACCAAAATGTTGTAATAATCTACACAAAAACCCAAAGATCTCTTTTTAAAAAAACATTTATTCTGCAGAACTCCAGGATGCTCCTACGCTGCACCACTTGCCTCTTTTCTCGACCTGTCTTTGACATGGTTAACTTGAAAAACGATGAGAACGTGGTGCAGCTCTTCTGCGGCCGCTTTTGTGTGAAATCTTACAAGCTGCGACTGACAGATGAGATGGATCAAGGTAATCCACAGTGAATCTGTCAAACGTCCATTTTTCACATCTTTTTACTGGATCTTCAGGTCAAAATCAGAGACGTTATAAAAGACGTATAGCACTCACTTCTTAAAACGAAACAATTTAAACTGTTTTTATCACATACAAGTTATTCTCTCACCAGACATTTAATCAGGTACATCTTGCTAGCACTGTGTTGACCCCTTTAGCTTTCAAAACAGCCATAATCCTTCATGGTATAGTTTCATCAATTTTGGTTCATGTCGGCATGATAGCATCACACAGTTGCTGCAGATTTGTCAGCTGCATGTCAGCAAATATCCTGTTCCACCACCTCCCAAAGGTGCTCGATTGGGTTCTGGTGAGTTCTATTTGAGTGCAGTGAACTCATCGTCATGTTCAAGAACCAGTTTGACATGATCTGAAAATTCTGACATCAGAGGATGGCTGCTTCCAGGCCCTGTGGCAGAGGTTTTGGGCACATTGTAACCACTGAATTTACCAAAACCAAAGTATTCTAGAGTCAAATCTGAGGCCATCTCTCTGACAGCCAAAGCTTGGCTGAAATCGGGTCACAAAGGGATGGAATTGGTCAGCAACAGTACTCGGGTAGGCTTTGGCATTTAACCGGTGCTCAACTGTGCCAAGAAATGATCTTGCACACTGTTAGACCCCCACCAATCTGAACTGTTGATACAAGGCAGAATCGATCAATGCTTTCATATTGTTCTTGCCAGATTCTGTCCATACCATCCCAGTATCAGCAGTAATCAGACAAGGCCACATTCTTCCAATCTTCTACTGTCTAATTTTAATGAGCTCAGTTTTCTTAGCTGAAAGGTGTGGTTGGAACAGCCAGAGAAAGGCTTAGAGTTTCCCCCTCAAAACCCCAGAGATGGTTTAGTGTGAAATGATAATATAATTGAAATTAATGAATTATGTTTGTGTAGCATTTATCTGCATACTTGTGGAGGAATAGGGTGTGAGGAAAATCTTGGGTTGTCATAGATTTCATAAAAAATAGGACCACAGTGCTCTGATGCCACGTCTAAAAGGTAAAATAAAATCATACTGTGCCATGAGAAGCCACAGAATCCAGCAGCGAGGCAGTGTAACTACTGCAAAAACAGTTCAGACTGAATCAGCCTTTCAAGTGGCACTCCTATCTCTTTTTCTTCCTTTTCACTCTTTTGAGGTTTCCTCATATTCAGAAGTGATAGTGTTGTGGTCAAATTTTCACTGTCACTATTTCAAAACCAAAATCTACTGAATGATAATTTTTCACAGGACTTACAAATAATCAAAAACTCTTATTTTGTAATAACCATGATGTTGTTATATGAAGATAGTAATAAGACTATTGATGTGTTTGTTAACAAACATGTCTCTATAAAGAGAAATCTAGTAACAGAAAAACATAGAATTCAAATACTGTTGGTAGAAGTCTGTGATGTTGTGACTTGTTGTACTTTTACTTGCTAAATCCAAGCAATCACCTTAACTGTAGGTAAAAGGCTCATCTTACAAATCTCTGCATCCTGTCTTTGCTTTTATTCTGAAAGTTCTTAACAGAAGTATCGATTTCTTTTCCCTTTATTATAATTCTCTTCATTCGTCTTGACATCTTCTATTTAAAAAGTGTCCATATGCCTCCAACATGTGAGATAAATCCAGTAAGTGTTTCTTAAGTGTGTCCCAACAAGCCTTACGTTGACTTTGTGTGGAGGAGGAAAGTTTGGATCATATTTAATAATTTCATCTGTGTGACTCCTAAAGGTTATTGATCAAGTCATGAACAGCAGCTGTATTTTCAGTAATCACATGTCTGATTTCTCCCTTCAGTGAAGAGAAAAACCGATAACCAATCAAAAGAGACAAACACTGTGAGTATGCTTTGTTTCTTTTTCCGCTTCAGTCACAGAAAACAGAGCTTACATTCAAGTCTGGGGAAGATTTCTAATCCCTATATACTAACAGAGGCTCTTCCCACAGGAGGATGCTGTCGAACCAAACGACACAGTGTTGCTCATCGCCGACGAGTGCACGCTCTGTTTCCACTGCAAAAAGAATTTGTTGGAAGGAGAGACACTTTACAAGCCGAAAGACACAGAGGAGTTTTTTTGCTCCATGGCCTGCTTACATGAAAAGCGTTGCGAGATCAAAATACCCATCAAAAAGTGCCACAACTGCTTTCAGTAAGTCTGTATTTAATTCTCCATTTAAATGAGCAGCGGGGTTAAATGCACAAAAACAAACATTCTACAGATTCAACAGGTTTGTGAATGTGCTAACTTGACATGCTGATCTACAAAAAATTTAATCTCAGTGACTCTGAAATCTCTTTGATCTCTTTCATCTTATTTCTTCAGGGTGATTGCGCGACCTCAAAACATCATCCTGGCTCCGGTGGATGATTCGGGAACTATGAAGGAGTTGTGCAGCGATACATGTCTCTCCTCCGTCACATCCAAAATGAAAAAGGCTGCTACTAAGCCTCCACCAAAAGAGCGACCTAGTTCACAGTGCAGGATGTGTGCCAGATGTTGTTATGTAAGGAAAAGAAATAAAGTAAATTACTCTGAACTCTGTTTTATATGCATTAGGGATTGTAGCGCATTTGTCATGAACTGTTTAAGGATTCTTAGACAACGCTGGAGGCGAGTGTTTGTGACAATTTTAAAAAAAGCTGCAGAATATCTCCATCCTTTTACTTTAAAACTTGTTGTTATTATTATCACGTTCATAATATATTTTTGTAATAACTACTCTTAACACATTCCGTTTCCAACCTTAGTGCAAACTCACGGTGACCCTGAACGGCGTGGTCCACAGACTTTGCAGTGACTCCTGCTTCATGAGCTACCGCAAAGTCAACAACCTGCGCTTGTCTCTCTGCGACATGTGTGACGCCGTCTGCTACAACAAATGTCTCGTGGTCAAGCTGGAGGACGGCAGTAAAGCCCTCTGCAGTGATGAATGTCTGGTCAAGTTTAAAGAGGTGCAGAAATAAAAACAAAACAAAAAAACCCCCAAACACATTATCTCCATATTTGACAAAAAGACTTGAATGTGCCTAAAACAACACATTTGCCTAAAACAAAGGGCAAAGGAAGGACTCCTTTTTAACAGGAAGAGATTGCTGGAAGGTGGCTAGTTGAGAGGAAAGAGAACGAGGAGCATGTTTTATTATTTTTAGTTATTAGAACTGTTAATTACTAATCATAATCAAGCAACTATGTCCGTGGTAAAGTAGCTATGTGCAGGTAACATGAGGCCATCTTTTATATATTCCCATAATGTATTTGTGCTTAATGTAACTCCATCATATAATCCAGACATCCTGTTACTGTGTCAGTATGAGGAAAACGCACAGAAATTATTAAATGTTCATTAAATGTTATTTCAGGACCGGATGTTTGAAAACTAAGGACTTGAGAAATAAAAAGAAATCAGGGCACATTTAACCCAAAGAGCATCCGATAATTTAAACGAACTAATAACAGGTCATCACCAGGCTTTGTGTTTCATGTGTTAAGCAAAACATTTGCAGCTTAAATGCAAACAGCAAAGTGTTATAACTTCTGTTTAAGACACTCAGTTCAGTTTTAAAAACCATTATGAGTCTCACCTTCATAAATGTGGAGTAGGCATAATACTTTACAACATATGTCTAAGGTAATGGTGTTCTTCATCTCACATTTTTCATTCGTTATCTTTGCAGAAAGTTGGCACTCGTCAGCTCTGCCCCATGTGCCAGACGTCCCATCAGCTGTCAGACATGATTGAAAATAAAAATGATGAAGGCAGGCTGGAGTTCTTCTGCAGCAACAGGTGTATGATGGTGTACGAGGCCCAGACCTTCACTGTGACGGGTATCTCCAGTCATATTTCAAACTGCAGAGAAAGTGTGCTCTATTGTGCTGTGCTCGCTGAACTTTGCAGTTGGACAGCAGTTTTTAAGCTTTTAGGTGTCAAAAGCAGAAATATTGTTCATGCTTTTGTCCTTATAGACAAGAAAAGCTCTTCATCTGAAGTTTGTGAGGTTAAAGACGCGAAGCCATCTGTAATACATCTCAACTGCGTAAGTTTTATGTAAAAAATGTCTTCTTTAGTAGCCACACCCAGTTTGGATTCAGTGACAGAATAAATGTTATTAACAACTGAATGATAACAGCAATTCATGATTACAATAAATTCTGTTTATTAAATCTCTTTCCAGTACATTACCACTTACGTTAGAGTCCTTACAGTGCTCCACATGTCGGCCTTTGCTATTAACCTTACACAGTTAATCCAAATCTCTCTTGCCTCTTCATCAAGATCAAAACAGAGCCCATCGATGAGGGGTACAGCCAGAGTCTCACAGCCTCAGTTTCTCATCAGGACATCAAGAAGGAGCCAAATGTAGTAAAGGTAAGATACTCAATCATTATCAATCATTTTCCCCTTTACATTATACAGTAACTTCTTTATTATTTCAGTTAGATGTTACTGGACACAATGATGTCATTTATTGTAACTAGAAAAACATAGACAGCACATTAAATCATCTAAATATCCAAGGGATCATTTAAACAGCACTCCACCCGCGCATCGTCTCCTGTTCTGGTTTTTACAGGAGGACTTAAAGATTGGGTCGGTTTTCTCCTTGACCGATGAATCCAAACCTGCAGAGCCCTCGCTCACCAACACGGATGTCCCTGCATCGTGCTCCGCCTGCAAACAGGTCCTCATGGATGGAGAGACAGTTTACCAGAGGAAAAACCACACTGGCACATTCTGCTCCACTTCCTGCCTCCTGAAATGTTACCAAAAGATACCAGTTTGGAGGACGTGCCACTTCTGTCTTCAGTGAGTCTAACAGTCCCAGTCTTTGGTTGCTGGACTGCTCTTGTGAGAGTGATAACTTAAGATTGTCATTTGTACTTAGAAACATATAATTGTTTGTATGTTGTTAAATGTCTCATCCTTATTTAGGTCTGCTAAGGTTCTGGGTGCATTCTCTGTTCACTCCCTTCTGCTGTTAGGTGTACCTTATACACATGTTAAGTTAGGGTGGCTGTAGCTCAGGTGGCAGAGCAGGTCAGCCACTAATCAGAAGGTCGGTGGTTCGATCCCAGGCTGCCTCCTGCATGCCAAATATCCTTGGGCAAGATACTAACTCCATGTTTGCCTACTGGTGGTGGTGCCTGCTGGCGCTGTGTGTGAATGACTGAATGTAGTGTAAAGCGCTTTGGGGTCCTTAGGGACTAAGTAAAGCGCTATACAAATGCAGGCCATTTACCAAGTTCATGGGAAGGTCGCATCTTGTTTTGTGATATATGGTATGGTGGAACACACGCACTCTATATCTGTTCAGTTACAACAGTTGTTTGTCTTAGTTGGGCTGGTTGGAGGCGCCTCGTGCCAGTCATCTTGGGAGTTGCATTCCTTTGCAGATAACATAGTAAAACATTGCTAGGCCTGGCTGAGCAGGTTTCACAGGGCCATATTTTCACACACACACACACACACACACACACACACACACACACACACACACACACACACACACACAAACACACACACACACACACACACACACACACACACAATAAAAGGGGCGCTACGGGAAGTCCGGCCGAGGTTGACAGGGTTCAAGTGGAAGGAACAGCGCTTGACCGTAGTCGGCTTCCCTCGCGAGTGATCAGACGAAGAGCTCCGTCTTGTGTCTTGTTTTGGTGCTGCTTTGGTTGTCTTATTGTTCCAGCAGGGTTTGTGCTTAGATAAACCCAACAGCTCTAATTATTCTTCTTTTTAGGCTCATTCACAGAATAACTGATGTCCTTTAACTTATTTCAACTTCATCTAAACTTCACTCTATTGAATTTTTTAATCTTACCGTTCCTCGTTTTCTCAGAGTGATAAGAGAGCCTCAGGACATCCTCGAGGCCCGCTGGATAACGAGGGGACAAAGAAGGATTTCTGCAGCCAGACTTGCCTGTCCTCCTTCAACTACAAGAAACAAGTGTCCACCAAAATACCCGTGGCTCCTGTCTCATCACACTCACAATGCAGCATGTGCAGCAGATATTGCATTGTAAGAGACCAGGGAACAGTTTCTCTAATCTAATTACACGACACTGCCTGCTATAATAGTTTCATCAGTCGATGATTAAGTTGCAGTTTATTTGTTAGCTGGATTCGTGTGTTCTAAATGAGCCTGATCTCTGTTTATCTTCTTGTAGAGCAAACACGAGATCACGAAAGAGGACGCCATCCACAAGATCTGCAGTGAGCCGTGTTTTCTGCGGTTCTGCGGCATGAACAACATCACAGTCTGTGCGAACTGCCGCGCACACCGTAAAACACCGCTCACGCTCAAGATGGAGGAGGGCGGCAACAAACTTTGCAGTGAAGAGTGCCTGGCCCAATTCAAGCAGGTCTGAAGGATAAAGTTTGCTTTTCCTACTGTTGTGAATGTATTGTGGCAAATATTAAACACATCGGATATGTTAAATAATGAGCCAAAAACCCAGGATTCAGATTGCTTTTGTCACTTAGTGTTAGACAGCTGGGTCTGTATGACATTAAGAAAAGAGGGCATTGCTACACTCATCTGAGGCAGCTTTGGCTGCAAGTTTGCAAGTGTAAGCAGGTTGCAACAAAACTGGATCAAAGGAGGTTCATTTTTCATTTAAGATTTTAGGCAATTCTAAAAGCAAAATGTTACTTTTTCCTAATCTTCAAAAAATGACACGAGCTGAATTTGAGTCTTTGCTTTTTGTTGTTGCACAGAAAATCCAAACCCCGCAGCCGTGCACAATGTGCCGTAACACTTCTCCGATATCAGACATGGTTGAAAACAAAAGCAGTGAAAATGTTGTGGAGCTCTTCTGCACCAAAAGCTGCGTGTCTGCATTCAAGATCCAGGCTGTCAATTCATCAGGTACGGGACGGATGCTTTGTTCAGCTTCTGTTTGTCTTATTTAGTTCTGTTTGTAACTCAGAAGCTTCAAACTTTCATTGTGTGTTAACTATTTTTTATTATAAAAGTAAAACCTGGAGATAAAGCATTTTTTAAACTGTATGAAAAGACTTCAAATTCAAAGGTGCAAACATAAATCTGCTCAGTTTCATGCTTTCCTCGATTAAACCTCCCCTTCTCCTCAGCTGCCTCATTGAATTGTGACCACTGTGGTAAGACTGCAGTGCCAACCTGTCACCTTGCCATGTCAGATGCCTCCATCAGAAACTTCTGCACTCTTAAGTGTGGCATGGATTTCAGGGTAATGTATTTAATATATGCTAATAAAACAAAGCCCTCGATTCCCACCCAAAAACATTTAAAAGCACCCAAAGGTAAAATACTTTCTTTACAGCAAGCTTGACTTTAAGATTTTGTTTGTCACATTTCTATCAGAAGTTTTGAACAATGGCTCGCCCATTTCTTTCTTTTGTCTGATTTACAGGAGAGCCAGAATCCAGCAGGAGTCCCCGATCAAAGTCAAAGGGATTTCCTCCATCCACCACCGAAGCTGCTATGCGCCCAGTGTCAAAGCATCGTATTAACTACACCCAAAGTCATCCAGAGAAAGGTACCATTCTCCCGTCCTTTCTTTAAATGTGGAGAACCACAAACAGTGAGGGCTGTGTGGGTTGAAAATTTTGTTGTTTTTTTTCCTCTCTTGATTGTATGCATTGTTAGTTCAACACTGTTTTACACCAGCTGTTAAACTGTCTCTCTGTCACCTGTAAGCTGTTAGAAACATTCATGTTTATGTGGACAGATTTTTATTAAAATATAACCATGTTTGTGTGCAGGAAAAATATACTTTGCATGTAGTGTGGCCTGTTTTCAAGAATTTAAGAGGGTCAACAGCATCACGGCTACCTGTGAATACTGTAAGAATGAAAGAATCATCAAAGACGTCAAGAGAGTCGGCGGCAAAGACTGCTGCTTCTGCAGCGATGGTAGGGAGAACATGTCAGTGTAGTTTGTTTATGGTCCATTTCACATGATTGGGAAGTTTACTGGAGCCTCATCTTTCTCTTCTCGCAGCCTGCAAGACACTTTTTTGTCAAGAGCTAAAAGGGAAGTGGGGTAAACACTGTCGCTCGTGCAGTTACTGCCAGTCGATATCCAAGAGTCTGGTGACGACACCGGGTGAAGACACGGACATCGAGTTCTGCTCTGAAGCCTGCTGCTCAAAATACAAAATGCTCCTCATCCATGTAAGTGAAGGGTGATGCTCACACTCTGCACAGTCTGTCTGCTGCAGATGAAGGTTCTTTTTCCTTTTACCCTTGAATATAATTTGTAAAAAGACAATTTAATCACCAATTCTTCTCCTAACTGATTTTTTTCTCAGGTGGCAAAATGTGACACCTGCAGTAACAAAGGGAAACTAAAGCAGAGTCTGCCACTGCTGGGAGAGGTCAAATACTTCTGTGGCATGAAGTGTCTCCTGCACTTCTGCAGTAACAAGGTTCAGATGCTCGACGGAGGTATGCACATTTGCTGTTTCATTTGCTCCTGATGGAGCTTCCTGGTTAAGTGAAGGCTATAATTTGTTCTCGAGTCCTGGGTCAGTTACAGACTTTATAAATCTGTGCTGCAGTTTAATCAGTTACTGGCACCACTGACTGGCTCTCCTCTCTTTCCAGAAGTCTCTTTATCTCCAGTACCTGCAGCACCAGCAGAGTCCTCTCCTGTCATTGGGAATGTTTTATCTTTGGCTAATGCTCTGACCAGGCAGCACAGCGGCCCAGCAGCCTCTCCACAGCTTGGTACACACAGACACACACACACACACACACACACACACACACACACACACACACACACACACACACACACACACACACACACACACACACACACACAGACACATTATTTATTAACACATGGTGATATTTCACCCAGGAAATAAACTGAGTAGTAATTGTGGGAAATTGTGATGCTGTGTGTGTTTTGTTTTAGCTGCTCTGACTATAGTTATTGCCATGTTTTTTCTGGTTATCATTTCTCCACAGGCTCCATCACTGACATTCAAACAAAGGTCATTGGACATGTAAGTCTGCAAAGATGTTTTAATCAATGTGCCTCTATATAAACTTCTGTTTTGATACATTAGAAGTGGCTAAATTTCAGAATGACCTAATAATATGATCTGTGTTACAAATGAAGTTGTCTTTGTCGTCATTTTGATTTGATCGTAGTTGAAGGTGTTTTTGTGACCTGTCTGTTCTTCAGGCCAGCGTTCAGACTGTCCCAAAGGAGCTCAAGAACAAGTCGATCATCTGTACTCCGCTGGTTCATAACAAAGGGGTCTCCTGTACAGAAGAGGCTCTTAACATAGAGACACAAAAAGGTGAAGCACATAAAATGTCTGTTGTGAAACATGAACAGGTACCATCTTTTCAGAATTAACAGTTTTGGTGTTTACTCAATTTTTTCTTTTCTGTTGTTAGAAGACCGTTGTGATCCTAAAGTCGTAGTCCTGCCTGTCCCAGTGCCGGTTTACGTTCCTGTGCCTATGAACATGTACAGCCAGTACACCCCACAGCCGGTGGGCCTGCCCTTACTGGTAAGTAAAACACATCTTTGATCTTAAACAAATATGAGACCATTACTGTAAGATAAATGCTCTCATTCTTTAAAAGTACTTAAATGTTGCTTTGTCATTTCTAGGTTACATATTTTTTAAAAATCCTTGAAGTTTTTTTCTGTTTGAGGAAAAAAACATTTCTGAGTTGTGGTTCATTTAAAAAACGATGATAATTTATTGAAAGCTGTTTGTCCTGCTGCTTTTAACTTTAAGTACATTTGTCATTTGCCGCATTTCAACCTTTTAAACTCAGTAGAAACCCGAGTCTTAAGTCTGTGTTTCCCACAGCTGCCTGTGCCCCTGGTCCTCCCTGTGAACACAGATGGCTCTGAGGCAACGGTGAAATCCACAAAGGAGAGTTTGCATCCTGAAAACTTACAGGGTGAGCTCAACATCAGGCCTGAGACGGAGATAGAGCAGAGCGAGGAAGGGCAGAAGCATGGAAAAATGATAAAAGAGGAAGAAAGACCCAAGCCTTCATCCCTGGAGGGTAAGAATTGTTTTTAATTACATGAAATAATTACAGAGTTATATTTTTACAGGGACAGGACGACCTGTAGTACTCGGGTAAGAAAAGTTAGTTTCCATCATTTATGGACACATGAACCAAACTGAGCCAAACAACTGTTTGTGTCATTGTTATGATCTCATCAGTCATTTATGACTTAATGTTTCGGTTTACTCGGGATGGACGTGACAGTCACAGCGGTGTCAAAGATCCTGTGTCACCATAGAGGGCTGATTAGTGATGTTTCCTGTAAACAAACACACCTTAGTATTACCTGTTAATAATGTTAATACACAGGTTACTATTAGCTTCAACAACACTTACATACAGTGTGTTTTTCGGGTTAGTAATAATAACAGCTGGCTCTACTCCATTTAGCTGCAGTTGTTGAACTTGCTGGTTTTACTGCTTTGAGCTGTCAGAATGTGCTTTGTAAAAGATCTTGGATTATAGGTGCTGTGTTCCTGTAATAAGTGCACATATTTTTTTTCTCTAATAATAAAAAATATCAAGGATAAAAGAACTGTTTCTCTCTCTTGTTTTTTTCATTATTTTCAGACCACACCAGGAGCTGCAGCAGTGACTTGCGTACAGATTTTAAGCCCACTTTTGACAACCAGGAGGATTTCTTTGATACCAGCGCCGGGCCGGTCACTCAGCCGCGAGGCCACAAAACCTCCCCTCCAGTTTCAGATGAGGACATGCCCAGCAGTCCTCTTCCTGACCCCCCACCTCTTTCTCCTCCTTCAGCTCTGGAAACTCCTCAGAGATCACCCGTCGCTCCTCCTGCTCCAATTTTAGTACCACAAACTTTGGACAAAGACAAGAACAAGGTAAGAAACCAGCTGAGCTGGTTAGAAGCTGCGTGATGTTTCCTTTCTGTGGTTTTGACTCTTCTGTGTGTCTCAGGATTGTAACCTGGAGCAGCTTTCAAAGAAAGATGAGCAAGACGCTCCTAAAACAGACTTTACTCAACCAGTGTGTTCAAAGCAAAACACACTCAAGAGTCAATGTGGAGTTGATGCCTGGAAGAGATGGATCAAGTGGAGAGAGTCGCAAACCAACCCGGAGCCCGTTTCTTGTATGTTTTGTAACATTTTTTTACTTGTCTGTAAGCTTTAGATTTTTTCCCTCTTTGAAGTGAGTTTAAAAAAATTCAGGTGGAAAAATCCCAGCAAACACTACTATAGTCATAAACATGCTGTTTTCTGCTTTGTTCGTGCATATGTGCAGGTAGAGGATGGAGCTTTTTCTAACTTTTAAGAACTTCATGCTGCTGTTTGAAAATTTCCCCATTTTTCCTGTGAAGAAGTAACTACACCCTCTACATTGTAGAATCTAGCAGGAATAAATTTCTCTTAAGGTCCTGTCACAGCATTTCAGTTCAGTTGAGGTCTGGACTTTGTGACTTTATTCATTCTGAGCCATCCTGCTGTGCTTGGGATCATTGTCCTGTTCCATGATTCAGTTTGGGCCTCACGTTTGACTCAAAGCCAAATACTTTGTTACACAGAGGAGTCCATGGTCGACTCAGTGACTGCACGATGCCCAGGTCCTGTAGCTGGAAAACAAGGTCAAGTTTGACCTTCGTATAGAGACCATAAAATCCATAGTCCTGTGAGAAACCTTTGTTTTTCCATTCTGAGACAATTCATAAAAAAAGAGCAGATGAATACAATTTGAGTGTAACTTTATTTTTTTTGTATTTTGTCTCATGAAGGCAATGATGTCAAAGCTAATCCACTAAAACCTTTTCGTGACTCTTTCATCTGTTAGCTCATGCACTGACGCTGAAGGCGGACCTCCTTCGTTGCTCTGTGGCTGAACTGAGCGACTGCCTGCTTTGCTTCATCAGGGAGGTGAAACAGTCCGATGGAGAGCCGTACTCCCCCGGCAGGCTGTTCTACCTCTGCCTCAGCATTCAGCTGGTAAGACTAGAAATGACAATATATACATTTATAATTATTAACAAATGGGCTGCCTGATCCTGCTGGTTCTTTTTAACTTGGCTCTCTGGCTCCTTCTCTGGGTGGCTCTTGCTTCCGAGATTGATGGGGGTCCAGGAGTGTGGGGCTTGGGTGGGTTCCTTTTGGGGCTGCTGGTGGTCTTGTGCTTTTGGCCATGGTGCCTGGGTTGTGCTGGCCAGCGCCCTTCTTGGACTTTTGGGTCTGTTTGCTGTCCCTCGGCTTCTGTGGCGTTCTGGGCCCTTCTCTCACTTACTACGTCTGCTGGCTGGCTTAAACTATATCTTCATGCTGGCTTTAGACACTAGTGTGCATGTTTTTCACACAGCACGCTGGTGTTCTCGGCTGGGGATTCTGGGCTTCATGACGTTTGTGTTCTGGTGATTTGGGCGGAGTCGATGGAGGTGGACTTGTTTTTACAGCACAAGCTTCCACATTGATGATAAGATTTAGAGGTTGGGTGAGTGTCATGGGGCTTTCATGCTGCTCCGTGGGCACAGTGATCCAACACTCAGCGATTGTTTACTTTTTCTGTTAATTTCTCACCCACCTGTTTGTCATAACCATATCCTGTGTTTAGTGTTTAATGAGCCATATTGGTTTTTGTCTTTCTCTGTAGTTTTTGGTTCAGAACGGTCGGCTGGAGAACATATTCAGTGATCTCATCTACGACAGGTTTTCCACTGAGTTGACCAAGATCCTCAAACCTTCAGTCACAGGTGGAGGTAAATTATCTTCAGCACCACGTTTTTTCCTGTCTTTGATATTTTGATCACGATCATCAGCTGCCTGCTGTTTTTGGCAGGTTGTGTCCTGTCCTGTGTGGAGGAGCAGTTTCTGTGGGACTGTAAACAGCTGGGGGCGTACTCCCCCACTGTCCTGCTCAACACGCTGCTCTTCTTCTTCTGCAAGTACTTTGGCTTCACCACAGTCGAGCAGCACCGCCGGCTGTCCTTTGCAAACATCACACTCTGCACCAAAACCAGCAAGAGCAACACCAAGACCACCTTCCTACGCTTCCACCCACCTACTTGTACAAACCAGGAAGAGTCAGGTACCAAACGGCTGAGGGCCCAAATGAAATTCATGTATAGTAAATTGTATGACATGGAAGTTTACATTTTTACTTAAGTCATGTTGTTGTGGTTTTTGTGTGTTCTTCAGACACGTATGACGTCCCAGCTAAGAAGGTTAAGAAAAACGAGTCTGAGGAGGATTTGCTGGAGATGATGGAGAACCAGGAGAACCCCCTTCGTTGTCCAGTCAGACTCTATGAGTTCTACCTCTCCAAGTGGTCGGTGTCTCTAACTCCTTAGGGATTTATGTCTTATCACCCTTTATCTCCATCTATCAGCTGTATTACTACTCCTAGTTTGAAATTTGCGAACCCATTTAATGCATAAGAAACTGAAACAGTTCTGTATCAACGCTAAAATAAGGTATAAAATGTTTAAAATGTATTTACATTTAGAGATGTCTAACTTTAATGACCTCACATTATTATTATTATCTTTTTTTAAAAAACACATTTTCTTCTATTTCATGTAGTCCCGCATCGCTGAGGCAGCGCAGCGATCTTTTCTACCTCCAGCCAGATCGGAGCTGCCTTCCCAGCAGCCCTCTGTGGTTCTCGCCCGCCCCGCTCAATGACAGCAGCGTGGAAGCCACGATCATCCGAATCCTTGCTGTCCGAGGGCTGCAGGGGGGGAGAGAGAGGGTGCATGTATGGCCCCGTAACCACTGGATGACCCATCATTTACACCTGATCAGGAGGACTCATTGTTTGAAGGACTTTTTTATTAGGTGCATCAAGATTGATTTAAGAATATATACATAGTAAAAACATCAGCATGATTCAATGAAAGATGGCTGTTTAAAAACACACTGTTTATGAACAAGTGGCAGAAAGACACCAGATGTTTCCATCAGCAGCTGGTGGAAGCTAAAAATAGAGCTAAAAGAGACTTTAGAGATTACAGCTGAATTTAAAACTGTTTTTCTTAAACTGTGAATAAGAGTTTCATCATGCCAGCTCCATATGTCAATACTATATCACCAGTTTGCCTTGAATTTTGGCTGACCAGTCAGTCAGCAGGCGTGTGAAAGAAGAAACCTCCCAGCAATATAAAATCTGAACAGAAACCCGCCTCACATCTGTGCAAGTGTTCCTGTCATAGCTCGTTCCACATCAAGTTGGCAGCGATGTTTTGTTTTCTCTTCGTGCTGCTGATTGCGAGAGCTGGTTAAAAGGCTGATCTGAACCCTATATAACTCCTCTGTGAGGTCAGACACTGATGTAAATTCTTAAAAGTTACAACAAAAAAAGGTGTTTCACAGGTGACATTGCAGTTTTAGCACATAATACATACATAAAAAAAAATCAGGAACAAACTAATCATTAACATTTATCTCATTTTAAATGGTGTATATATCTTTTCATTAAACATCTCTGAAAGGAAGCTTTAAAAGTTTGCAACATTAGCTTTCATTGTGTCCTGTACTCTCACCTCTACTTCCTGAATTAAATTTAGACGCACAGAGCCACAGCTGGTTTCTCACAAATACTTCTATGAGTTACTTTGCAGGAAATAGCAAACCAATACATCGGCCCCATCTTCGCACAGTCCTGTCCATCAGGATCTTCTTCAGTCAAATCATTTGGCTCATCATGAAAAAACCAAAATGTCAAACTAAGGGATGAAGAACAGAACGGGCATTAAGTGTAAAAGCTAAACTTTGATTCTGAAAATGAACAAAAACATTTTGATAATTTGTTCAGTGTTCTTTTTATATGCCAGTACTGCATGTCATAAAATCTGGTTCCTCTTTCTCACTGTTTGTGTTTTGTCGCGGTCGTTCTAAGCTCTTCTCTTTCTGCTCACCACCTCACTGTCACTGAGTACCGCTGGTCTCTCTTCTTTCTGTCTTTTCCTTACACTATAATCCACCGTCTAAGGTGACTGTTATTGTGAATAGGCAAACCATGTAGTACATTTCATATGTATGAAGTGTAATATAATGTAATTGGGCTGAATCAAACCTTTCATTCAGCGGTGAGCCGTCCACCCACAACCATCTGCCCTCTACTGCTGAGTCTGTCAGTCCGATCCAGAAAAGGTCGTCATAGCTCTTGATTTTTTGTTGAATAGCTATCCTCAAGAAACTCTAAACAGAAAAAAATGATTAAGTTACTTTGTGAATGATGATGAAACATGAGGGTGAGAACATGAACCTGCAGGAGGGGTTTGTACCTGCTCCTCTTTGCTGTCTATCTTAACCAGGTCTCCTCCTTTAGTGCTACATCCAGTGCTGCTCACATTCCAGGATGATTTGCTTGTGGAGAAAAAATAGCACTTTTCTCCATGTTGCTTCCAGCCATCTTCACATTTATAACATGGATCATCTTTGAAGAGATTGCATCAAAGACTTCAGTGAAGTGGAAGAAATCATGTTGATGTTTGTGTGATTTGGAGTCTGTCCTGCAGTTACAATCTGACATACTGATTCTGTCAGTCCATCCTTCTCTTTAATCAGAGGATTGAAAAAGCACATCGAAGACAAAATATAAAACTTACTCGTAGTTGTATCAGCAGGTTGTGGGGTTGTAGGTGGTATTGTGCTGTACGATTGTGTTACTGTTATGAAAAAATAAACAGATTTTCATAAAATTTCAGTAGAAACTCAATTTGTTTTTTAAATTTGGCTATATATAGATGTATGTATGTGTGTATGTATGTGTATGTATATATATGTGTATGTATATATGTATGTATGTGTATGTATATATGTATGTATGTGTATGTATATATGTATGTATGTGTATGTGTATATATATATATGTATGTATATGTGTATGTATATATATATGTATGTGTATGTATATATATATGTATGTGTGTATGTGTGTATGTGTGTATATATATATATACACACATACATACATACATACATACATACATATACATATATACATGTATATACACACACATATATATATATATATATATATATATATATATATATAAAAAGACAAAATATAAAACTTACCCGTAGTTATATCAGGAGGTTGTGGGGTTGTAGGCGGTATCCTGCTGTACGACTGTGTTACTGTTATGAAAAACATAAACAGATTCTCAGAAAATTTCAGCAGAAACACAATTTTTTTTAAAATTTGGTTATATATAGATGTGTGTGTGTGTGTGTGTGTGTCCGTGCGCACTTTTTTTGGTGTGATTTGGCGGCAACAGGATTGGAGAATAAAAACAGATAAAAGACCACTTAAAACTTACGCATGTTTATTTCAGTAGGTTGTAGGGTTGTAGTTGGTAATGTGTTGCACGGTTCTGTTACTGGTATGAAAAAGAGATTAAAGAAAAATTGACGTTCATAACTTTTTCATCTTCTTTTTGATTTGAGGGACGCATGATGCTCCCTGGGTGCTGCAGCTACATATTTGTTTATTTGCAGATATTTCTGCAGATACATAAAGCATAAATTAATGTGTCAAGTTTAAAATTCATAACTTACTAATTTTTACTTCAGGCTCCGGACACGTGGGCTGCACTGTACTACATGGTTTGATTTCAGGTGTCTCTAAAACACAAACCCCACAAAACAAAACAAGTTGAAAACCAAACAAATTAAAAACAATAAAATTAAAAATAAATTAACAGTTATTCATCAGGATCAATCATAAGTATGGAACTATTTAAAGTCTTAAAATGCTGGGGGAAAAAACTCAATAAGCAAAGTTTAATAATAATAACAACAACAACAATAATAATAATATCTGTGTGTTCTGTGATTAAATTCCAGAGGTCACAAAGAAACAAAGGTTTAGTACAATAAGCAGGAGTCTCATATTCTTACCTGCGACAACAGTTTTTACAGTTACCTGCTTTAGCTCAAGGTTTCTGAGCATTTCCCTGGTTTTCAAAAGCTCAAACACTTATGAAAAAATAAAAATAAGATAAGAAAAAAATAAAAATCATACAGTAATATTTTTTAAAACATTTTTCAGATATGTTACTCTTTGTAAAGTATAAAGACCTTAAACATATAAATTATGCCAAAAACAATGTGTTAAGAAACATCTGTTCACCAAAGAGTAAAACACATTTATGTTTATGGTTGTGTCCAGCATCCAATTAATGAAACATGTCATAACTCAAGTTATCATGCTGTAAGTTTATGACAGTTTTATTAACCTTGATAAATCAATAACAGACTGTAATAAACTGACTATGTGTTGCATAAGACAGCGCCTGAAGCAAGGACTTGATGCTCATTGCCATAGCAAAGAGGTGATAATACAGTAAAATAAAAAATACAGTATATCCTAAAATAAAATGTATTTTCTTAAATCTTAAATTTATTAATGAAAATGCTGGGCAAATTTGTCTTGAAAGCTATTAGAAGTTTTAAATAAAAGTATTTCATTTGATGCAGATGAATTAAAAAGTCATACGTTACATTTTTTTATGCATAATTTTATAGTAAACATTCTGATTGTCATTTATTTTACGATAAATCAGAAAGTTATTTATGTAAACCTACACAAATAAAACTACAAACTCACAGAGATAAGTTACCACGAGAGCCGATACCAGGAGAACAGAGACAACCAGCACGGCCACTCTGAGCTTTAACGCATTGTTTGATTTTTCACGTTGACAGTGAAGAGCTTCACCTGATTTAGAGGAGACAGAAAGTGAACACACAAGTACATAAACATTTAATAAATAGTTCTAACTCTAATGCATCTGAGCGAAGATGTAAAGATATGTCACTGCTATGACATATCTTTACATTCTATGAGAACAGCATTGTTCATAAAAAGAGTAGATATTTCTCTTCCCTGTTGATTTTCCACCACATTAATGTTCTTACCTTCTATGTATTTCTGTGGACAGCTCGTCATGCTGAGGCTTCAAGCTCCCGACTTCAGAGTTAGTCCACCTGTGTCTGAATCACAATAACAAAACAGCAAACTGGTGCTAATTATTTTAACCAATTCCTTCAATATTTACTGAAAATTAAGCATCAAGCTTCACCTCTGCGACCCTCACCTCAGGCTTTTCAAAGAGAAGTGAAACGCAACACCTTTCACAGCTCTCTGTTAAAAAAGCAACAACTTCCTGATGAAAGGATGGGGAGGAGAGCCTATCTACAGCGCAGCTCATCTATTATTAGATTCAAAGAGATACTAGAGCAGAAAAAAATATTAGTGCCAGAGAAGCTTCTCAAACAGCAGTTAAAAAAACCTGCTCAACAGTAATGAGCTGTACGAAAACTCATTTCAAACATGACAAATATGATCATTAACACATCAATAGTTGTGATTATTTACCTTAAACATTAAAATGTAATAAAGTGTTTCATCTGATCAATCTAGTTACATTGTATCAGTGTTATTCGTGCATCTTTATGGGAAATGTTTCTATAAAGACAGAAAAAAAACAAAGCAAAGCTGTTGGTCAGTCTTGACTAACTCTGTAAAATCACTGTTGGTTCTCATCAACTTTGTTACCTGTGATCTCATCATTAACCCCTGATGGTTTCATTTAATTTCACTTGAAAATATATAAAGTGGAACAGGAGAGTAGTTACTGTATGTTTAACAATAAGAGTACATTTTATGGCAGAAACATGTTTCTGTCTTGCTTGCTAAACATTTAATTTATTTCTAACACAGTGCAGCTTTGTGCAGCTACAAGAATGTCAAATGTTTTTGTCAATTACAGTTTCTCTCACTGTTTTCTCACAGCAGTGTCTCACAACGCCGAATGCGAGAAGCACAGCCACAGGAAACAAGACATTTTGTAATAAGTGACCACACATTAAAATATCACCTAATAGTGATGACAGTTGGTTCCTTCTTTTCTTCCAACTTTTTTCTTTCTTGTGTTATCATACATACTGATGTGTCTCAAGTTTTGTGCACAAATGTTGTTTTATTCCTGAGTTGATTTAGCACCACACTGATATATCAGACCTTATATGTAGCTCTGTGGATGGTTCATCATCTTTTTGTGGTATTTATAGCTCTTTCATAAAACTTCATAAAATGTGGCACACACACACACCCAATACAGCCTCGCTTACTCTCTCTTATGTGCAGTATTACTGTGTGCAATTGATCTGTGTATAATTTTACTCTGTGTATAATTTTACAATACAGATGTCCATATTTATATTCCTAGATTTTGTACTGTACGTTCTTTAGAGTGTACATT